TGTCCTTTATGGGATTGTTTCGAATATGATCCAAGTGTGATCTTTTCGTATCTTATATACGAGTAAATTGTAAGCCGCATGAGCATGATATAATGCGATATTATTCATAAACATACCTAATTTAACCTTATTCTTTTGAAAATCATTATAAGCAGCCTGAATTTTTCGCTTTTCCTCAATGATTTTTCCCTTGAGTATAATATATGTAAGTCGATTATATAAAATAAGAAAATTAAGTCAGAGAACCCATTCGCTACCTTTTCTTCTCGTAATTTATAACTGGCTTCATTAAGCTTTGTCTCCTCAAGTCTCAATCTGTTGATCAATTTATCATTTTCCTGCCACTTTAATTGTACTTCTTGAAGTTGTCTTTCGAGGTCACGCCTCTGGTCAACATTTACTGAATGGCGTAGAAATAAGATTACAGTTAGTATATGAAAAATTAGGTACAATATTTAACAAAGAAACCTTCACATACGTACATGTGTTTGTAAATATTCTCGCAGGTCTGATTTTGGTTGTGTAAGATTGATTAAGCCTCTTTCCGTATCTTGAAGATGTTATAGAGTAGGACGTATCACCCGCAATATATTTTTTAATTTCCGGGCGTCTTAGGATCTCCTTATGATCAACATCTGATTCACTTCTGGCCACCGGCTATGAATTTGATGAGATAAATGGTGTGTCAACCAAATTTTTTAAAACAAACCAAAAGTTACTTACGATTCTATGAAAATTGGCTTGATCGCAAATTGCTGTAAGTAACATCGGGGGGGCATCTATTTGATCTAGTAGATAACTTTCAAAACCATGTGCCCTAAGCTGATAACACAATAAAGTAAATTAAACAGAATTTATCATTCTTAGAAACATTTAAACCAATTTTTTGCGTACTTGCTGAATGGACATAGGGGAAGGAAAATTATTCAAATTTAAATGGGAGATGCATATAACATTTATTTTCAACTTTCGATTATCGCACAAAGCTTTTGTGACAGTATGGTAATCTTGGGACGATTCACAAACGAACGTCTAGAAAGAGTTAATAGCAAATGAGGTGAGACAACATCTAAAATTCAGACTGAAAAAATTATGAAATTTTACATTTCATAATTTATTACCCTCATAGAATTTCCTAAGAGGTATTCCACTGCGTCAGCATAGCGCATGTCCTTTATGTCAATTTCCAGGCATATAGGATTATAGACATGCGCAACCAGCTTATCCTTATTTTGCTCCAACCATTCAATAGCAGACATTGTATCATGATCATTGCTTAGGGCTTCAAGCCGATGTCGTTTCACATCTTCGAGTTCCTTAAATCTTTTGAACCAGAAATTGATTGATAAATATATAATATACTAGAAAATTACGGAAATTAGAAATAATATTCACTGTTTCTGTAATGACTCCATATCCCATCGAAGAATTTTATTATCTTCCTTGATTTTCTCCATCCTTTCTAAAACATCACCGGTTTGTAAACTCGTTTCACTCAAGCGACGAAGGACATCTTCCTAAAAGAGGGATTCACAAATTAACAAAATAAATTCGCTAGTATTTGAACTGAACATTCGTTACCTACATATCTCTTTTTAATATCAGAAGCACCGATCCCTGGTGGCGGAACTTCAGTCTTTTCTTCTAATTCTTTAATTTCTGTTTGAAGTTGGGAAATCTTGTTCTGCCGCAATTTTTCTCTCTTTTTAATTTCTGAAAGTTCCTTCCGCGCATTATCAATGTCACCTTCCTTTTGTAACAGAAAAACGCAATTAAAATTTTAAATATTTTCAAAGATCTTCAAAATTGAGATCTAACCGCTTCTTCAAGCTCAGCCGCAGTTCCTTCCATCTCCCTTTTCTTTGCACCATAAGACTCTGAACACCTTTTTTTCTCATTAGCTGCCTTCCTCACTAGATTTTCAAGAGCGCTAAATAAACAATTAACTGTTAATAGGTGCCTTTCTATAACAGACATCTGTTAAAAATAAATATAACGACTTATCAAACCTTTTTCTCACATTGGCGGGTTCGTTTTCCTTGAGAAGGCAAATGTATGCCGAATGAACTTCTGTTCGTTCTTTTTTTATTTCATCATACAAATTTTTTGCCACACCGTAGCGAGCAAATGGAATCCGTAGCTCATATAATCTAACCTATAATATAAAAGATAATCTATAAAATGATATTTTCTTGCAGGAATCAAAATCACTAAATACCGATGCGCAGAATTTAGCATAAAGATTACGCATTTTGATTATTTATTATCCCGATGTAATAAATTAATATTCTTACTCTTCTCAATATTGCTTCTTTTTCTCGGAATCGAGTTACATCCCTTTCCAGAACAATATTCCTCTTTTCAAGATTATCTATTTCATCGCTGTCGCCTTTCGCAGTCTGCAATCAACAATTTCTATAAATTAGCTATAACTTAAATAATGCCTCAACTATATACTTTATAATTCTTGAAATCAATAATGTGTTACCGCAGATAGCTTCTTCTCCTCCTCTCTTAATTTGATCAAGCGTTCGTGCCATGTAATCAATTCTTTTTCACCAACAGCTCTTTGCGTTTGCACAAGTAATTCGGGAGGTGTCATCTAACAATATTGAAAATATTTAGAAAATGGCATCTTGTATTTAATGAGCTGAATAAACATATAAAGATAAAAAAAGATCAGTTAAAGGTACCTGTGCAAACTCGCTCACTTTGTCTTGTGGAAGAAATTGGCTACGTATTTAACAATCAACACCGAAAAACAATAGTTAACTTCTGTCAATTATGCGTCACTTGTTAATAATTATTACTCGAAGAACCTACCAAAGGTTGTCAACCTGAATATTAAGCGAGGCCATTTTACTTTGTACTTCCTTATGGTTGACAATTTTACCTTAATTGAATTTTCATTAAGATCAATTTACTTATCTCAAAGATAACATGCAATCAACAATTACCATTTAACTTCCATTGAGAATTATTATTGGATTTTTTAATCGTTCGCGAAACTACAACATTCTTTGATTTGTCTTTCAACTCGATTTCGATCGACGCGCGTTCTTGACCATGCTTGACGAAATCCGAGATTTCTTTGGCACGTCCCAGAAGCTTTGATTTTAGAACGGAAAAAATGGTTCATTCCGATAGGTTATAATAAATTAAAACAAATAATAATAATAATAATAATATGGTAGTTTTACCGATGTATTCCAGCCTAGACCAAGAGCAATCGCACAGACAATCGTACTCTTGCCAGTCCCATTGGGACCTATGACCATGTTAAGATTTGGTCCGGGTCGGAACTCAACTGAATCGTATGTGACAAAATTTTTTAGGCAAACACGAACAATAGACCCTATTTGATATCTAAGAATATTGTAATAACTCTCAGAATTGAATTCACTCCAAACATCTTTAAGCAAAAAAAACACTGCTCGGTAGTAACTCACTCTTCCTGAGTACTTTTTCCTTTACGCGAAGGAGTTGAGGAGGCCGACGGAGAGTTGTCTCCGAGGCGCATTCTTTTATTACTGCCTTCGCCTGGTGTGGAACTAGTTCGCGAAAAAGACTGCTCCTCGACAGCTTCATTTCCGTGTCGCCTCGTTTTACTTCGTGACATGGCTTCAACTTTAGAAAAAGACGAGACGCGAACGAGAATAAATTATTGTCTAAGAATTTGTACCATGTTCCACAGATGCACGTCTGCTATAACAGATAAAGCCACATGACCATTCCAAATTTGAAAAGAATGAACGAAGCATACGCATATACTGTATATGTATAAAAAATTTGAACTTTATTATCGTAATTGTATAGAGTAATTAAACTTTGCTATAGTAAAGTTGACTCATAACCGAAATTCTCTCGATTAAGTTGAATGCAATTGTTCTTTGAGTAAATAAACTCAAAAAACTTTATTTATTACACTATCATAATAATAATAATTATTATTATTATTTCATTAACTGTGCTGGCACCACATACTTACTAAATAAGGAAAACTAGTCATCTGTACAAGTCTATCAAGTCTAGCATTCCTGTTTATAACACAAATAAGATTTCTAGAAAAAAAAAATTAAAATTTATTTTATTTCAAAAGTTATTAATGTATCTGATACAAAAATTTAAACCAAATATAATTAAAAAAGAAACTATTTAAAAAAGTTAATATAATAGATAAATAATATTTCAAAAAAAATCAAATATTAAAAATTATCAATATTAAGATAATTAGAGTAAAATATTAACTTTATTATTTATTATTTTTATTTTTTTAAAAAGATACAAAGGTGCCAATGGCATATGATTTTATTAGAATATAAATATTCAATTATATAACTACAAGATTTATTTAAGTTAATTTGTATCTCTATCTATAGCTTTAATCCAATTATATAAGTTTATCACTGCAGGAGTGAATTTACATCTTGGGTAGGATCTTTAAGAGATAGAAATATTATTACTAATTTATAAACTATTGTATTTAACATAATCTAGACTATACATATGATATAAATTATTTGCTGTTGACTCAATTCTCAAAATCTTCAAAAATAATTGTATTATAATTTAATTATTTATATTGTTAAAGGTAAAAATGGTTATACAAAAAAATAAATAAATAGAAAAAAATAATTGGATCTATTGAATCTATTATATATATTATATATATCCGATATATTAAGTATATTAAGTATATTAAGTATATAATAAAGAAATATAAAAGTAACAAGTAAAACAATTAAGAAAAAAATTGATTATATCTAATAAACTATAATAAATTAATAGATTAACAATATATACTTGATTAAAAACATATATGCATATTTCAAAACAAGACGATTTAATGACTATTATATAATATAGATTAGATCGAAGTAATAGACTCACTGTATTATACTATAACAATATAGTTTAATAGTAACTTAATTAATTGTATCAAGAATTTATGAATTTTAACAACATATATAATCTAGACTCTAATAGTTATTATTGGAAGTATATACCTTTTATAATTAATTAAAACACCTAGATAATCCATTTTATATTTTTCATTTAAGATCTCAAAAAAGATACTATACTTGTTATTACTATCTATGACTTTGGATTTTTTTTTTCATTAAGTTCTTTTCTTTTAAACAAGTACTGGATTAAAATAGTCTTAAATAAAAGTATTCTTTGTGTTATAGAGTCTAATATATCAGGAGGATTTGTAGACTTTTATAGAAATTAGATCAAAAGCTTTTTCTTATACAATCTTTTTTACTTTAACCTGTTTTTAGCCCATAATTGTCAAAAAGATTAGAGGTCCTATCTTCATGCAGTCTAACTGGATTTGATTAGGATCTGAATGTTTTTTAATATTCTATATATAGAAAAACTGATAAATTTGCATACAAATAAATTTTTGCATTTGCTTCTTGTGAATATTAAACTAGGAACATATATTTAAAGATTTGAAAGCACTATTCACTAGGGTTTTAATTGATACTATTCAGTATAGTATTTTATAAAACTGATACTGAAAATTTTTTCAGTATCAATATCAGTAATTACCGAAAATTTTTAATACAAAACTTTGTAATATCAATACCAAACCAAAAGTATTAAAATCAAATATTAAACTAATTTAATATAATATAATACAGTAACTAGAATTCTAATTGATATAATATAGTATATAAATAAATACTTTATTTGATAAATTTGTTTTATATTTTCCTGAAAAATTTCATAAGTTTATATGGCAGATTGGTAATATCTCTTATGATTAGATAGTAGATATTTTTGGATATATATTTTTTTAAGTTTGTTACAAGTCCTTTGTAACTTTCAATAGTTCTCCTAGATAATACAGATGGGCCAATATAGCAATTTGATAGAATTGTTATATATATTGAATAATTTTCAAGATTGTTATCTTAATAGACTTATTGATATGGCATAATAAATCTCTCAAGAATTTCATTCAAAATAAAAAGCATATTTATTTTAAGTAAGTTTATTTTTTCCAAAGCAGATTGTTGGTATATGAATTTGAATATTTTCTATGGTAGGAATTTTCTTAGGATATGGGTAGTTATATAGTTTTTGAGATTATATTAATTAATATTGTTGGTCACTTCTATATTTAAAGACTTGAATTTTTTCCTTACTATGTTTTTATTTCCCTTTTTCTAATTATAATTATGCCTTGTATTAATAGACTTGTTTATGCCATTGAACATCCTGATACTATTATTGATTGTATCATAATTCTTTAAGAGAAAATTAAATTTTTTGATTATGTCATTATTAGGTGTAAATGTTCAAAATATCAAGAAGAGTTGATTGAGCTACAAAATCAATTATCTCAATTGCAGTCTCAATATCAAGAACAAAGAAATCAGCTGTAACATTTTTAAATTCATGGTCAAGAATCCCTAGGTTACTATTAGTCTCATATTACTTCACTTCTTGAGATAAATGCTAGTTGGATGGTGATAAGACTTTATCAAGAAAATACTTTGCATTTAGAAGTTTTGGCACTTTGGAAGTATGTTAGTAAGTTTCAGTCAGTATTATTTTGATGTCATCATCCTATTCCTAGTTGTTATCCTTTTCCTTGGCAGGTTAATGTCACTTCTTGTCCTTTTGTTTGAAATCCCAATCCTTTCTGGATAGAGAGCTATCCACATAAAGATCCTGGATCTAATCCTAGCAATACTGAATATTTTGCTTGTTTTTCAAATTCACATGTAGTTTATGAACCTTCAGAATCATTTTTTTAAATAAATTGCTTTATTAATACTATTGTTTACATTTTTCTTATCACTGTATTACTCTGTGGATCGGTGATAAGATAACAATAAGATATTGTTTAGTGGGCACTTATTGTTATATAATTTTTAATTTTTTTTTTCAATAAATATCCTCCAAATTGTTATATGATATATTATTGTCCAATATGAAATTTTTTCCAAAAAAAGATAAGTACAATATAATTAAAAATAAAAGAATATATATATATATTATTATAATAACTAATATTGAATAATATAATTTTAAACAGATAGACCTGTGGGTCCATAGTGTAGTGGTTAACACTTTACAGGTCAGATCACAAGATACCAGTTCAACCCTAGGTTAAGGTGGTTGAACCAAATTAAAAAATGGTATCCAGGGCCATAACCTATCAAGCCCTGTTTCCTATAAGAAGTCATTCGCACGCTGATCCAATAGGACGTTGGGATTGTGATCTCCAGAAAAGGTGTCGTGGCGCAACGATCATCTGGTTGGTGTTACGATGATCGCCAGAAGTTGCAAGGTGTATGAGGTGTCTACTTTCGACAAGCAGGTTTAGTGATCCTTCCCCTAATATCCAGTGTTTTTCACGCAGATCCCTGCCCTAGTCTCATCCCAATCCAGTAATAAACCGGTCTGGCGGTACTTATCCCGAGAAGGCTTCTGGCTATAAGTCCTGTTCCCTGCAATGTGTAAGTCGGTGTTCAGGCAGTAAGCACCAGTTATAAGTACCTTGAACGTTCTTAGATATCATTGGACAGGTAAGAAATTAAATGGTTAGCCCAGCTGCAGGTGGTGGTAAAGGGATTCATCCCCAATAGAGCAAGTAGTGATCATGTAGCTTTATTCGCTATAGATATTATCCCTAGTGCCCTCTTTCAACTTCCCCTTAATTCCTCCCCAGTTAGAAATAAAGCTGTCCGACTACTAGTGAAAACGCACACTATTGGTTCAACAAAGGAGTACCTTTGTCCAGTAGATTAGCCTCTATACCTAATATAGTTAGGAACAAGCTATAGCAAACGTCGTTATTTGGAGTAATTATAATAAGTGTTAAGTATTCTTAATAACTGATACGTTATAGGATAGTCCTAGATAGTAATGTCGAAAGATATATGTAAATATCGTTATTGAATAAATACTCAGCCAGACAATTATTGCTAGTGCACTTTAAAATAATAATAATAATAATAATAATAATAATAATATATAAAAGGAAGGATATAAAAGACAAAAGAAAAAAAATTGTCATAGGTTTTTCCTTATTTAATTAAAGAATAAACAAAACTTTTAAACTTGAATAAACTTCAACCAAAGATCCCATCCCATTGTATCAATTGTTTTAAAAGTTCTTGAGTTTCTAAACTAAGGCTTATTTGAGATATAAAATATAAAATATTTTTTCTTAACAAAAATTAACATTAAAGAAAATTTGATAATTAATTAAAATTATATATTAAGTAATTATATCAATATTAAAAAAAAAATAATAAATATTTTTTAAAAAATTCTAATTATATAGTATAATATTAAAATTAATAATAAATTAATTTTAAAAAAGTTAAATAATTTTTAATTAAAAAAAATAGATAAAAAATAAAAAATAATATAAAAGTTATAAATAAATAAATAAATAAATAAATTTAAATTTTATTTAAACTATATATAATTTTAATATTAAATTAAAACAATAATATTTATTTATCTTTTTTGAAAAAAAAACTCTTTCCCGTTTATCACCAAATTTCCTAATTAGGAAATATTTCTCAGAAACAAAAACTTATCAAGTTCTTTATCAAAACACTTCTAACTCCAAGAAACCACC